CAGTGGTGAGAATCTTTGTCTTCTTGACATTGAGCCTCAATCCATATTGGAGGCTGGAGTCCTTGACCCTCTGCAGCAAGCGCTTCAGGTCCTCCTCAGTTTCAGCAAGCAGGGTTGTGCCATCTGCATAACGCAGATTGTTGATATATCTCCCACCAAACTTGACCCCACATTTCTCCTCTTAGAACCCAGCTTCTAGAAATGACTTTTTTAACTATGAAAGAAACCTCATTTTTTCTCACCTTTTCATCTCTGGCATTGTAGATCATATATGATCGTCTGATTCAAAATGTCCCATGCCAGCTCTTCTCATTTTGCCAATATCTAGTATGTAAATATTTATGCACTCCATTTCTTTCTTAAACAATGTCCAATTTTCCTCCACTCATGGCTCTCACATTCCATGTTCCAATCACTACGGTCTGCTTACAACTGTTCCTCCTGTTCCTCCTCAGTTGTATTTCCTTATTTGAGGGTTCAGCCTCAATTGCCATATCTGTGAGTCTAAGTGTGCTCTATTGTACATAGGGTTGTCAAGGACCTACTATTTTGGAACTGGATGGCCAGTCCTTATTCCTAATCTGTCTTAATTTGAATTCTCAGATTGAGAACAGTATCTGACAGACGACCATTTTACAGAAAGGAGCAGATGAAAGACATTTCCACAATTATAGTAGCAACCAATAGATTCAGTGTTGTTTCCTGCCCTTTGGAATGGGTTTCTTGGCCCGCCCCTTTGCCTGCTCCGCCAGCATTCCCTGCTATTCCCGCCTAGGCCATTCAACACCTCTCTCCCCCCAATCCAGCCCTTGATAAGAGACTGGAAGCAGCACGAGGCATTCAGAATCACAGAAGCCCAGAAGGCTTGAGATCTAAACCCTTGGGATTTAAAAATATCTTGACAGCACTTAACAGCAATAACAATGACAACATAGAAGGAGCTGCGTTGGCGTAGTGGACAGAAAGTGATGCCACCAAGGCCAAGGTGGGTGATTTTAATCTGTGGCAGGTTAAACTCAGGCCTGGTTTAAATTGTTTTTTGTCAAACATTCTTCTAGGTGGTATATCACTGGTCTGTGTGTTGTTGTACAGAGGTAACTCGTGGCTGCTGTGATGTTAAACACTGTGACACTGATGTACCAACTGCAATAATGGTTACCCATGGAGGACAGTGTTTGATGGAGCTTCCCGATTAAAACAAGCTTGGAAGCAGGAGTGGCATCCACTTCTGAAATGGCTTGTCTCTGGAAACTCTATGAATAGTGCTCAGGTCTTCTGTTCATAGGGTCTCTATGAGTCGTCTAACGACTTGATGGCACTTAACAACAACGACAGTGACAGAACTTGCTCTGCATTTCTCAAGCTGAAGGAACGGGAAAAATATTTTAAACCTCGAGTTGCAATACTGAAAGATACTATGGGAAATATATTGAATGACCCAGAAAGCATCAAAACAAAATGGAGGGAATACACAGGATAACTCCATACTCATTCAATCTATATGCTGAGCAAATTATTCGAAAAACTGGACTCTGTGAAAAAAAAAATTGGCGCCAGGATTGAAGGGAGACTCATCAATAACCTGCATTATGCAGATGATACAACCTTACTTGCTGAAAATGAGGATGGCTTGAAGAACTTATTGCAGAGGATTGAAGAACACAGCCTTTGGTATGGATTACATCTACATGTGAAGAAAACAAAGACTCTTTACCACTGGACCAGTAGGCAACATGATGATGGATGGAGACCCATAGCTAACTCTCCAATGGGTGTCAGAGGCAGTTAATTGCATGAAAGGAGATTGCCCATCCTTCCCCCAATGAGGCTGGTAGCCTCGAACTGCGAGTGCCTTTAGGATTGCCGCACAGCTTCTTGCCACTAGGCCACCAGAGCCTCTTATGATGAAGAGGAGATTGAAACTGTCAACAACTTCATCATACTTGAATCCACAGTTAACACTCTTGGTGGCAGCAGCCTGGATATCAGGGAGTGTACTGTATTCCAGATGGGACGTCTGCAATTACAAACCATTCCAAATTACTGAAGAGTAATAATGTAAGTTTGAGGACTAAGTTGTGTCTGTTTCAAGCAATCTATTTTTAAATCACTTACTATGACTCCGAGATCTGGACAATGAATGACAGAAGAAGAATTGATGCCGTTGAGCTGTGGTGTTGGAGAGGAGCGCTAAACATCTCATGGGTGGCCAAAAGAGTAAGTCTTGGTGAGGGTGCAGCCAGAGTGCTCTTTGGAGGCAAGAATGGTTGGACTTTGCCTCACATTCTTCGGGCCTGTTGCTATTCCTCGGAGAGGGTCATGATGCTAAAAAATGTGGAGGTCCACAGACGAGGAAAACCTTCAATCAGGTGGGTCGAGGAGGTGACTGCCACAATGGGCTCTAGTGTGTCTGAAAGTGTGAGGGCGGTCAGGATTGAGATGTGCTGTTCCGAGGATTGCTGTGGGTCATACTCAACTTGACAGTAGTAGATAATAACAACAACAATAACAGCATCTATCTGAGGAAAAGGATAAGAGAAAAACCTGCATTCAAGCTGCAAAGGAAAGCCTCGACAAGGGGTGGTGGTTAGGCGTAGATGATCTTCGAAGTACATCCTGCTCTTTTCTTTTTGGAGCATGATTTATGGTAAAGTCCTCTTATTTTAGAGCACAGGTCTCTAAGTTTGACAATCATGTAAAACCATGTAACTAACACCTAAACCAAGGTCTTCTGTTGGTAAGTATTTCTTGAAGTCTTGTTTTTTCACTCTCTGGGTCAGGGGAGGTCTGGTGTGTAGGGTGTTGTGCTCTTGGCTCTAGTGTTTCCTGGAAGTCAGACCCCACCAGTGACTCTGTGGAGAAAAAGGCACAGTCTCCTCCGATGTGATTTACAGCCTTCGTAACCGGAAGGATGGTCAGCTCTGAGTCATTTCCCGAGTCGGAAATGAGGGAGGTCTTGAGGTGTGAGGACTCGCAACCGGGACTTCCACTGTCCTTGCGTCGCGGGTGTGGGGTTTGAGTCCTGTGGTGCAGATGGGCTGCGTGCCCTTCCAGGGGTCCTCTCTTCCTTTGAACAGTGTGTGTTGTGTGGGTTCAGCCAGTCAGGGGCTGGGATTTCAAACCTCCTTTTCCCAGTTGTAGCCTTTCAGGAAGGGCAAGGAGGAGCTGCCCTGTTTCTTCCGGCCAACTCCGGCCCTGCTCAAGTGTTCACCGCCTTCTCCATCCACGTGACGACAGTGGACATTACAGAGGGAGGGTGTTGAAACGCCACTGAAGAGATGAGCACTCTCGCCCCGCCCAATGTTCACACTTGAGGGGTGAAGAGGCAGCTTCTGAGATCACTCCATGCCTGACCATTCTTCCGTCCAGGACCCTCGACCGGCGTTTCTCCTTCTGACCCTGAGTCAACACTGCACCCTTTCCTCTCTTCCCACCACTTCCCTTCTCACCTCTATCCTTCTGTTTCTCTCCCGCCCCCCGCAATATATATATTTTATATATGTAATCTTTCTTTCACACACACAAGGGTGCTATTCAAGTGCAGGCCGCTCAGGCAGAGGTAGAGAGGTCAGCAGAGGTGTGTGAATGGCCCACGTCTCTCCTTTGTCCTCATCTCAGTGGCCAGCACTGGTCCCAGCCCTCGTTCTCAGCCCTGTCATCTCCCTGAGGGCCTCAGCTTACGTTCATCTGTGGAGTGGGTTTGGTCACCCCTGTGCTGAAGGACTGGTGAGGTGCGTGTGGCTTAGGGAAAGGGACACAGTGACTGGCACGTATTGGCTCTCCCATGAATGGCAGTTTTAGGACTGTTCTGGTCCCAGATGTCCTCCACCACCTTTCCCTCTGGACATGGCTTCCTTTTCCAGGCCTCTCACAGAACAGGAAGACACCTAAGACACTACCTCATCCAAAAATGCCTCTTCTGACACACACTCAGGAAGCTCTCCCTTCCAGAGGCTTCATTCCTGACTCTGGGTGAGAGGCCACTCAGAGCTCCTCGAATGTGAGTCCTTCCCTCCCTCCCAGGTCCTCTCCCATGTAAACCACTGGTTGTGTTCAGTAAGGCAATAAATACCACGTGAGCCCAAAGAGCAGCTGTCCATCCAGACCTCTCTCTCACAGGGCAGTCCTCAGGAGGAGCTGTGTCCCCAGAGTCCCAGGATGCTGTGGGGGGGGCATTTGTGCTTGGCACCCCAGCCTGGGATCCCCCTTGTGACACCCTCTTTGCCTTGGTCTCTCAGAGAGTGGAGCAAATCCAGCCTTTAACTACACGACAGAGAGCAACGACACCACCTCACTGCCGTGGAGTTGACTCACAGCTGAGCCTCCAGCGGGTTTTCAGTGGCGATAAATCACATGGCAGGACGTTACTTTTCTCCCACAGAGCGGCTGGGCAACCCCAACCGCCTGCCTTTGGGATGTCGGCTCAACTCCCTATAGACTTGGCTACCAGAGCTCCCAAAGTTGTGGTGGGGGGCGTGATAGGAAGAGGGGGAAAAAACCACCAAAACTCTGATCTTGTGATATGTCTAGATGCTTGAGATAATGTGTTTATTTTTATTTTGGTAAGCTATATATTTTTTAATTTTTTTTCCATTGTTGCACATTTTCTTCCCCTTCTCCCCCTCCCTTAACCTACCCTTGCAGTTAACCCCTTGTTCTAGGTTGTTGCCATGCATATAATGTCTAATCATATATTCCTTTCTGACCAATTTTTGGTAGGTTCATAGATCAGGATGGAGGCTTTGTGTAGGAACAAATAAAGGTAAATAATAGAACTGATAAAACAATATTCTGAAGTTCAAACCATTTATTAAAAGGAGCAAGAGTTGGAAAATTACAGGAAAAAGACACAGAAGAGTATCCACATTGGGCCCTCTAGAATCAGAACAAAACCCATGCTGTATGCTCTGCGCCACCCCTCCCTCCCACCCTCCCTCACCCTCCACTGCTTCAAGGACTGACCACCCTCTTCAATCTCATGGTGAAGTTTGTCCCCAGGCCTAAGGGTTAGGAGGTGGTGGGTGTGGCCTGTGATGGACACAACCGAAGGACCTGCACAGGGCACCACCGGCTTCAGCTCCCCCTCTCTCCTCCACCCCTCTCAGAGCCTGCACGTAATAATGATTTGGGAAGGAATTCCGATCCCTTCCACTCATCTTGGCCAGGTACTCCATGACTTTTAGCTCGCTGGTTTCTATGCGGGTTCGTGGCCCCCACAGGTACTCAAAGCGGGGAGGCTGACTGTTGGGCACTAGTCTGACCTCCAGGTACCCATTCTGCACCCAGTCGTGAGTGAGGAGCCTGATTGGCTCTCCAAAAATTAAGTGCTCCCTCCCTGCCTGCACATCCATCGTGTCTAGTGCCTCCCAGATCTTCTCCTCAGGGGCATGGCCGCCTTCCAGGAAGATGACACACAAGATTGTGATCAGGAGGCCGTTCCTGGGCAAGGTCTGGACACGGTTTGGGGACAGTAGGTCATAGGTAAGGCCCAGGGAGGGGACCAGGACATAGGTGTGGGAGGTGGAGTTCACCTCCATCGCTTCCACACCGAAGAGCAGCTGCAGGATCTCCAAGGTCTTCCCAAAGATCCTGGGGAAGTATCTCTCATCCCTTCTGCTGAGCAGAGATTGAATTTCAGCCTTATTAGTGAGCTCCTGCTTTCGATACTTGAAGAGCAGGAAATTCAACACACGCCACACATTCTTTTCTAGCCTCTCTCTGTGCCTGCGCTCAGCAGTGGACCTGGCCCCAAGGGCTCTAGTATTCGCCCCTTCATGACTCTCAGCTAAGAAGACCCTTGGGGGGGAGGAGGCACACTGGGGACTCCGGGGGGTACTTTCAGCCCCAAAAAGAGTCACCTCCTCCTGGGAACGCTCAGGGGAGGAGGGAGTGGAGGCCATGGCAGCCGCCCCCTCCTCAGCCCCTGGGCTCTGCACCCCCTCCAGGCTCTGGGGCTCGCTCTGCTCCTGGAGCCCGGGCTTCTGCTCACAGTCCTGACTCTTCTGCGACATGATGAGTCTTGGCGACCGGAAGGAGGAGGATGGCTGTGAGCTTTCTGGAAAAGAGCAAGGAGAGTGTTGTCAACAGCCTCGGCTGAGAAATTCAACCTTGACGGCTCTGACAGAGGCCTTCCTCAGGACCTCTCAGATGCCCTGTTGTCCTGACAATCTATTTTAAAGACCCCCAAGTGGGAAGTGCCCACCTCCTTGGGGTGCAGGTCTGATTTTCTAGGGTGACATTGGGGTGTGTGGAGTTGAGGGATATGGAATTACTGCTCTTCCTGGTGGGTGAGAACTTGGTCCATGTTTGGGGTCCTCACCTTGACACCTAGTAGAACAGGACTCTGTCCTCTACTGACTTGGCATCACCCCGTGTGAGCAGTGAGGGGGTCTGGGATCCCCCAGCACTGACATGGGAGATGCTGAAATGGAGGGCACCCTCAGATCTCCTTCAAAACATTCACCTTTCACCTTGCCAGCCACTGGCCCTGACTCCCACCACATAGAAGCCTGGGAGGGCATGCCACCTCTGGCCATCCCTGGGGCCTTTCGGGGTTGAGAACAAGGTCCAGCCCAACTTGCCTGCCCCCCCCCTTTTTTCTGTGGGGGTTAGTATTCTCTCTCTTCACCAGAGTCCTCACCTTGACTCCCAGCAGCACCTGAGATATCCCTTGTCTTGATCAGCTGTGATTCCCTCTGCCGATCGACTTTCACGCCACCTTCCTGAGGTCCTAGGGAGAAATGTTATGAGATTCTATCTCGGTAGAGCCATGCGGAGGGACTCAAGAGCTGTGACTGGGGGGCTTTCTTTCAGAGATCTCTGTGTTCTGGGCCCTGGTGTGCCCTCAGCCCTTCCCATTACTCCTAGCAGGGGCCGTATGTGAGGATCGAGTCCATGGATTCAAGCTGGGTTCTCTAGAGAAGCAAATCAAACAGATGAGGGAGAGACAGACAGACAGACAGACAGACAGACAGACGGGAGGGGTGGGGAGGGGAGAGAAAGAGAGATTTTAAAAACTGGCTCACGTGCTTGTAGAGGCAGGTAAATTTCAGGTCCGTAATTCAGATCGAGAGAGAGAGGTAAGTCTAGAGAGACTTGTGTCCAAGTCGTCAGCAGGCACGCAGGGTCTCAGAACCCAGTCTTCAGAGACTCCTAGCTTCAGCTTCAGCGGGCCAATGAATCTAAAGGTTGTCGGGGAGCCAATCGGCTTGGCTCCAGACTGCAAAGGGGGCAGGTTCTGCCGACCTCAGGTGCAAGTCTGGAGGACACAAGCCAGGGATTCACTTTCAGATGAGTGGAAAGGGCTGTAGCTTCTTGCTGGAGAGCTCAACGTTTTATACTATGCAGGTCATACCCCCAAGGAACCAACCTTAATCAGATAAAGCTCATTCTATCTTTAGAGAACCGCCCCTAGTCCACCTTGCCGCACCAGTCACATGCTGTTGTGTGCGAGCTATGAAGTAGGAACCCTAATAACTGACCCTCTGGCAAATTTCAGTGGCCATGAAGTGCACAGGAGGAGATTGCCCATCCTTTTCCCCAGGAGCAGCTGGTGGATTTGAACCACATGCCTTTGAATTTATATCACAGCTTCACTAACCTCATAAAACTTAGTATTTTACCATTCAGGGTATTTTAATAAATATCATGGCCACGTTGACAAGCCATATTAAGAACTGTATGACTGAACCCTCTCAGATCCCGGGCCTGAACTGTGAGGTAGCCGAGTCCTCCCGGGACTGACATCAGGAGAGAACTCTCTGGAAGACCTTTGTTCTGAGCTTCTGTATCCCCTCACACCTCACTTCTACTCTCAGCTGGGCCAGGACCACTCCGCAGGATGAAGGAGGCTGCCCTCTCAGAAGACACCTTTTGTCCTTCAAACCCCAGGGATGGATGATTTGAAGGGTTAAGACCTGATACTCTGAGATTCTCTGTCTTCTAAGATTCCAGGTCTCCTATGTCCTTCCCATTGCTTTGGCTGGGTGTGGGTACCTCCCCTATGGCACCAGCAGTCATTAGGGAAATACGCTATCAGGGATCTCTCCATCATGCTAAAGAGCAACAATGCCTGTCTAGAGACTAAAGTCTACCTGGTTCCAGGCCATGGCAGGCCATGGTCTTCACAAGTAATTGCCATGCATCAGAGATCTAGACAATGAATAAGTAAGAGAAGAAGAATCAATACCTTTGAGTTGTGGTGTTAGAGAAGAGTATTGAGCATACCGTGGACTCTCAAGAGAACAGACAGGTCTGTTCTGGAGAGTATGAAATCAGCTTGCTCCCTGGAGGCAAGCATTTTGAAGCTGCATATGACATACTTTGGGTATGTTGCCTGGTGGGACTCGTCCTCGGAGAGGGACATCATGCTTGGAAGGATGTAGGGACAGTGCAAGAGAGGAAGATTCTGGAGAGATGGATTGACTCCGTGACTGGAGCTAGTTGTGTCAGACACAGTGACACTGCTTCAAAATAGGACAAGATTCAGAGCTAGTTTGCATAGGGTCACTATGAGTCACAAGTGACTTGATGGCATATAACATCAATAACAATATTCCTGCCTTAGCTTGAAGCCCTGCTGATGGTGAGGCTGGCCCATGATAGGATGGGATTCAAGTCTATTGTTCATAGAGTCACTATGAGTTGTACTCAACTTGATGGAGCCAAACGAAGACAACAACAAATGTAAGACTAGGGAGCTCTGTAAGACTAGGGATACTGGTAACGAGCTGCACTGCCAACCTGAAGGCACACAGTTCAAGTCTACCAGCTGCTCTGAGGGAGAAAGATAGTCTGTCTCCTCCTGTGCAATTTTCTACCTCTGAAAAAACCCGGTCGAAGGTCATCTGTGAGTTGGCTCTGAGTTGACAGTACATAACAACAGCAGCAGTGTATGACTAAGCATTTTTATTGTGACAAGAAAGTCCTTTAGTTGCCCTTTCCCATCTCTTCCTGTAATATATGACTAAGAGTTACCCCTTTAGCCACAGCATGTGAATAGCACCGTCTCCGGAATAGTGATCAAACCGGAACAACCAGAACAGGACATGATTACTGATCAAAGGAGTTCTGAAGAACAGAAAGAAGATACTGTAAAAAATGTGTATGCTACTCTGTCCTGTCCCTCCCCTGTAGAAGCCCCCACAGTCTCCAAGACAGCAAGGCAGGGCTGCTCGTAACCCCATCTCCTATATGCCATTATATAAGAAAACTTGGCTTTTCCTACTCCAGACTCTGTGTTCAAGATAGTTTTTGGGTTTTGTATTTTTCTGTCAGCAGGGGACAGATCTATGACTTTCATGTGTGTAGTAATATTGCTGTTACATGCTGTCAAATAGCAAGCATGGCCTTCGCTATATCTGCTTATTGAAATCAGATCAGTTGTTATTCTAGGAATTCCTAGGACTTCACTTTCGGCCATGCCTTCAGTGCCATCTGGACACCTCCTTTCAGTGCCATTAGTTCCTGCTCATATTCTAGCTCTTGGAAAGCATTCAACACAGACTAATTCTTTTTGGTACAGTGACTCTAAGTGTTACTTACATCTTTTTTTGCTTCTTGAATATTCTGAGAAGGTGGAGTATATGAAGAAGGATATGGCATTAAGAAATAGCGACACAATAATTAGAGAAATGTTTGACCTAAGTAAGGGTTTCATTTTACTTGGATCCACAATCAATACTCATTGAAACAGCAGTTAAAAAACCAAATGTCTTATTGCATTGGGCACATGGGCTCCCAGGGACCTCTTTACAGGGTTGAAGAGCAAGAAGTTCCCAATGAAGGATTCTGTGCAGCCAACCTAAGCCATGGTCTTTTCAACTGTTTCATATGCATGTGAAAGTTGGACAGTGACTATGAAAACAAAGAGAACAATCTATATGGCAGCAAAGTCACTACAGAAACTGGAAAGATTACATAAGCACCTTAGGTGGAAGTGAGTTCCTGTTAAAAGGGGAGGAGCAGCTCAGAAAAGGAGGGTGAGAATGGCTGCCAACCTGAAGAATAGACTCCATGTCCCTAAATGATGCTTGTCCAAACTTGTAGAGTTGGTATTGATATTATTGAGCATGTTTCTCAACAACAAAGGGGTGTGTTTTTTTTTTTGGTTGGTTTTTTAAAAAGGGAAATTACCAGTGACTTAAAAATCTGGTGTGGAGCTCCAGGGCCTGCCGTAGAAGCTGCTGGAGTACTGCAGAGAGCCACCCAGAGTCGGAGGAGTTCCACCAGCAGCTCTACGGAAGAAAGCTGAGCACGTTCCCCACCTGTTAAGACTGGTGACCGTCTGAAGCGTCACTAGGAGTTGGAGCCGACTCAGTGGTAGCATTTGGAGCATCCGCTTGTGAGGCAGAGTTCTCTGCAAAACCATGGATAATATAGGCAATTCACTTGACACTGAAGAGTACCCTGACACTGAGGTACAGAAAGACCAAAAACTCACTCCGGAAGAATTGCAAGAAAAGTGGTGAGCCGCAAGATTGGGTTTCATCAAGAAGAAGGACATCAGCAGTGAAAGAAGCGTTTGGATACTTTTCTTCACAGAAAAAGACTCAGGGTCTTTTCCCCTCTTTGTGGAAAAGCAGTTGAAATGAGACAGTTTTCAGACTTGGGGCACAGTAGTGTCGTTGGCGTGGAAATCAGTGAGCTTGTGATACAGGAACTCTTTACAGAGCAGAGTCTCCCATACTCAAAAGAACCAATGCCTGAAATCCCTGGAGCCAAACTGTTTAAAAACTCTTCAGGGACCATTTCATTGTACTGTTGCATCATTTTTGATCTGCCAAGAGCAACTACTGGCAAATTTGACCGGATCTGGGACAGAGGCGCATTTGTAACTATTAACCCATGCGATCAATAATGCTATGTTGATACGTTATTATCGCTAACAAGGAAAGGCTTTCACCACTTCCTGTGTATTTTGTCTTATGATCCAACAAAAAAAATCCAGGCCCACCATTTTATGTTCCAGATACTGAAGTTAAAAAATTATTTGGTATGGTGTGCTATGGGA